TTCTTTGCTATGATAATCATTTCATAATCAAAAATCAACTAAGTTCAAACAGAATCTAGATATTTTAAACCTTCCACTTGTTTGGCCTAATATTCAAATGTTCATCCACAGCCTTGCAAGACTATCGAGATGTAGATATGTTCTGTGGTGAATCAGGACATAACTATSATTCGGATGAGTGACGGAACGGAAGCACAAATTTTAGCTAGTTTTTTCGACTTGCAAAAACACGAATCAATGGAAAGGAAGCGTTAACATTCARYTTCCTTGTTTACCAGTCTCTTGCGGTGGATAGTGGACCGCATAAAAGGCAGAGCTATTTCTGTACAAGGTATCTCACCAACAACTGATTTGAAGAAATAATCAGCRTCTTGGATTACCTTTGAARATTCATTTTRACTTTGAAGCTGAAGGTGAGTGATTACTTATTCAATAGTCTYCTTCACGGTTAYCTGCGMCATCTTGAAAGATAGCYGTGCCTTTGCATCGAAGCGAGACAACCGTKGAGTGTGCAATGATAGAAACCTTCTTTCACACCTACAGAYAATTATTCACAGGTTTCTATCATTGCACGCTCAACGGTTGTCTCTCTTCGATGTGCTGTGAATTTMAAAGTGTCTTTTTTATTCATATAYAGTGTGCAGGAAATCGATTTTTCAAATGTTTCTATTTTTAGTGCAAAAGTTCATAAACATGGTCACTTMCTGGACAAAGTTTTTGATTTTGTTACAYATCGCCATTATGATGAAAACGGCAGTAAGTATATTTTCATGACTATGTGCTTTTTTGGTTCGTTATTTACAAGCATCTGACACTAGTTATATATTGCTAGACTGCTGAAGCTTCCAATCTTAGATGGGTCAGTGCTTGCTGTGGAAAAGTCCCTGCATACCCGGTAGCAGGAGGAGAGGACTATCCAGGAGAGGTATATTTTACCAGTTACTTTAATTATTGATTTTTATWTTTTAACTGATTGACCAATTTATTGTAATATGGAACATATCATTCATAATTATATACTACGTTTTGCGMTTGATGCRATTGCTTGCAAATGTCTGGAACGCTAGGATCCATGTAGTCGGCCTCTTCCCAACCTTTCTCACTCATCGGTTAAAATTGTACAAATTCGWCTACGAGAGATCACAGCTAAAGGGACTCCATATTTACCACTTGTAAAGTCTGTTTCTTTAACTGTTTGTTTATATTTACAAAAGGTTCTGTATGTTGCACGAGTTAAACTCCCATCCGGGCTYACTCCTGGCAAAATGGACGTGTCAGCTCGTCGTGCCCATACCTCTTGGGGAGGAAGAGAATATTCCAGATATTCATACCAGATCCTTACAAACCCAGGATGGAAGTCTCATTTGGAATGGAAAAAGAGCAGTGGTTACACTGCTCCATCTAACGCTGTAATTGGAGGATATGACAACGGTAGGTTTAATTTCTTTAAAGAAAAATTGCTTAGTCTAACTCCATTGATTTTTAACGCCTTAGGAAATTTAGTGTCATTTCAAATATACTCGAGAGAGATTTTGAACATGAGAAGATGTAATTCGTATCTCCTAGCGACCATGGTATATTCAGTTTATCGTATAATTTTATATGAAATTATRTTTTGTCGTAAAATACCTTTTACTTCCGATTTTTTATAGAGAAACCTCGAGTGTTTTATTTTCGCTAAAATAATAACTTTTCGAAAGTCAGAAAAATAGTATTTTTCATAGATAATTACATGATAAAGACTGGGTGATTTGAGAAAATGCGACTAGCCAATCAGCGCAAAGCTGACAAGCTTATTTTGTAAACATAGCCCCCCGACGGGAGAAGTTTGCACAGCAAAACTCGACCCAGTGGAGTAGGCTGCCTGTCATTTTATTCTATCCGAAAAATCGAAGCTAAAACGCAAAGAGAAATGAATCTTTATAGAATAGCTTTTAAATGTCAATCGCAAATTTATCGTTATAGAAATAGAATTTTATCTTAAAAATGAAATAACAAGTATTGTTTTTCTTTAATACCACGAGACTCCCCTCCCTGATAAAAATAATTGTTCTGTGATCTATGCGGGTTCTCCATTGCGTGCTAATCAATGGCCGACTTCACGAAGACTTCAGAAGGTCGTTGAAGCGACGTTCAAGTCCAAAGTATCTTTAGGAGGAGCCACTGCAATTCGTTTTTCTTAGCTCTTGAGGTATCTACAACTTCACTGGAAGAGCTATAGAGCAGCTTAGGTCCACGTATTCCAATAGAGTTAAAGCGTTTGTTATTTTTGGTACAAAAGGCAACTGTCGTAGTTCGTCCCCTCCGTTATGGTCGTTATGTACGTAACAGGTCATTTACACATTTACTAGGTTTGACCTTACAACGAGAGCTAGAAAGGTGACTGGGGTTTTTCGTGTAATGTCKTGATAGCGACTGTTTATGTCGAAACGACTCAAAACAAAATTCCATCGTGAAAAAACTAAATTCCCTTCTGAAAAACACGTGTGTAAGGTGGAAAATTTTTCCAATGAGCATTAAATTCTAAAAGGTTTAATTCTATAATCATTTTGTTTAGTTATGTAAACTTGTACTGTTTGTCTGAATGAAAGGCGAGCTGCGGGTTTTTCGGCTTTCTTTATATACACTTTCAATGACCGCTTAACAAATGCACGGGCTCACTGGCTTGCAACCTTGGCGAATTCACATGCAGGCCTGGTTGCAAATCAATCACCCAGGATGATTAAAGTTTATATAAAGAAATTTTTTGTGTTTCTAAGAAAAGTGTACAAATCATTAAATATGGTTTGAAGAAAGGAAATTCAAAAATCAAAATAGCGGTGTGTATTTGAGTTTATTRCCCTTCAGAAAATAGCTTCCTGTGTTTTCTATAGCGAGTCCTAGGGGGRCTGGTTACAATAAGCATGACGTAGCTTCCGTCAGATGTTTTTTGGCGCACAATATCGTTGCTAATGTGAACTTGGTGACATAATTCATTCGAATATTAATTCCCGAATAATTTTCGTTTGTTTTTAATGTCAGATTCAAACCTAGGCTCAGTCTCCAGCCGTCGGGATTTTGTGCGCCCGCGATACTCTCTCCCCTGACGGCTGGGCGCATGGGGTTCGAAACKTGTCRSGYATGTCCGTGACGTTTTTGTGTAATTAGCATATTATGACGTAACGGAAGTGAATTTTTCAGTGAACGGAAGTGAAATATCTGACAACAGCCGTAAAGGTTTTGCTACAAGCCGGGAAATTATGTGAAATGAAAACTTCGCGAAGTAGCGATATAATGTAATAGTTAGCGCTTTAAAAAAGAGAAAGGAATGGAAATTACCCCAAGTAAAACATGTGCAGGGTTTAATAATCCAAATGGATGTATTATCTGCCAGAAAAACGAGCAAAATACACTAGTGGCGCTGTTTGAAAAATAAGAGATTTGCCCGAGCCAGTATAGGAAGAATAACAAGGACATCTTTTCCAAGAACAATCTCTTTAAGAGCCTTTTGCTGTATTTCTCTAAATTCGTCCAAGCTAAACGACTTCAGAGCCTTCAAACAAGCACTTTCAAAGAGAATCTCAAACGACGAATTGTACGCCATTTTGTTACACTGCTGCCTGCTAATTTATTAATGATATGCCCCTCAAAATATCGGGGGCCTATCGCTGATTGGTCAAGACTGACAATAGCGAACCTCATGCGCCCAGCCGTCAGGGGAGAGAGTATCGCGGGCGCACGAAATCCCGACGGCTGGAGACTGAGCCTAATTCAAACCTTAATGACGGAATTTCAGTAGTGATTTCTCTGCAAATTTCGAGACTGGTTGGACTGAAGCTACGTCACACGTTTATTGTCTCCAGTCTCTTTAGGACTCTCCCGATATAAAAAGCACAGTAGGCCCTTTTCTGAGGCTTGAATCGCTTCAAAAACACACCGATTTTCGATTTTTGAATTTCTTTTCCTCAAACCATATTTAAT